ATCCTCATCCCCATCCCCATCCCCATCCCATCCCATCCCATCCCATCCCATCCCATCCCATCCCCATCCCCATCCCACCCCACCCCATCCCACCTGCACTGCCCGTGGGATAGCACCAGGACCACGCCAATGCTCTCAAAAACTTATTCAGCGCAGCGCTTTGGGGCAGTCCAGCCCCTACCTAATCACAGCACAGCAAAGTCCGAGGGAGGCAGAAAGGAGCCTTAATTCCACCCCTGTGCCTCGCTGTGTCCCGGTGCTGCTCCTCCTGTCCCGTCCACGTGCGGCTGCAGGTGGAAGGGCACCCAGGAGCTGGATTTCTGCTTGCGGGCGCTGGGAGGGATTCAAAAACTCTTCTCATTTCTTGCGTCTCCGGAGAAGAGTGTTTTTCTGAGTAATGCTCAGTAGCCCCTATGAATCACCATCTGCATAACTTTATATGGGGGCTGCTATTCTCAGCATCTCCCTGGAACTATGCAAACTATTACCCTTCCTATCTGCCTGCGAGCTCAACGTGCAGACCTTTTTTTTTTTTAATTTTTTCCCAGGAAAGCCTGTTGAGGAGCGGGTCAAGGAGATGGGGCAGAGCAAAACGCAGCTTGGGAGGTGGGGACGTGGGCTTGGAAGGAGGCACTTGCTGTTTTTGGAGGGGCAGCCCCTCCTGGGAGCTTGGGCAGGAGATGTGCAGCAGGACACCCGATGTGCCGGGTGCTGCCCCGGCACACACCTCGCACCCACCCGTGCTCCTCTGGCCTCTTCCTGCAGAAGAAAAAAACCTCACGCGTTATTCAAAGGGCTTTGGATGATGCCCGGGAGAGCCGTGCCAGCCCCATGGGGTCCAGGAAAGGTTTTGGCAAGGGGACGTTGGCGATGGCAGCACGGGGGGAGCTGCCCCCACGCGGGCGCTGCGGGAGCACGTGCCGGGTGGGCTGGGGAGCTCTTGGTGCTGCTCCCCGCAATGCTTGTGTCAGGAGAGAAGGCTTTGTTCTCCAGCTGTCACTCTGCCACCTTCCAGAGGCTCTCCCTCCGCCTTCTGCCTCCCCCTCGCTCCCAGATGTGCGCAGTGCGGGGGCCAGAAAATTCCCCGTATCTGGGCAGGGAGCTGCAGCATCCCCCAAAGCTCCCCGCACCGACCCCAAGAGGGTGCTGACCGGGGCACTTCAGCACTTGGTGATGCTCCAGTCCAGGCTTCTGGCTCGCAGGGATCTGTAATTTCCACGCAGTTGGATCAGGAGCTTCACTGGGGGGGGGGTTCTGGGGCTTTTTATTCTTATTTTTTTCCAAACAATGTTGGGTGAAAAATCTCCAGGAAAACGCAGAGCTCTCAAAGGCACCCACAGGTCAGGAGCGTCCTTGTGCCCCCTACCCCGTGCGGTCCTCCTGTGACTTTCCGAGCTCCCCCTTTCTCCTCGGAGTCCTTCATTAGAGGTAGATCGGATCAGACGGGGTTTCTTTCACTACCAACTAATTCGGCTTTCCGTGGAGCGAGCCCATCTGATAACGGGGGTCAGCCAGAGCTTCGTTTTCTCAGTGCTTTGTGGCCTCGGCCCCGCTGCCTGGCATAGCAGAAGCACCCACGTCAGCGGCAGGTCGTGCCCTCTGCGAGGGCTGAGCTCGTGCCCAGCAGATTCCTGGCTTTTAACGCAGACGGGGACTGGTTCCTGCTCCCAGCTGTGCCCTGCACCGGGTGGCAGAGGGGAGCAGCTGCTGGGGGCTCCATGGGGTCGGTCCTCGGGGTCCCTTGTTCCTTGGTCCCAGGGGTGGCCCTTGGCCACCTTCCCTGAGGACCCTGGGGATGCAGGAGGCAGCGCAGCCCCCTGGTCTCTGGGGCTGGGGGCTTGGAGCAGTGATGCCGGGCACCTCCTGGCACCGCAGGGCTGGTTTGTGTCCAGCCTGAGACGAGAAAACACGCGCTGATAATTCTGGAGCGGTGACATCTGAAATTTATGTCCCTCCCCTAACCCTTCTCCTAAGCCTTGCTTTGATCTGAGACCCAGCTGGCGTTTTTCCGAGGCTGCGAGGAAGTCTGGAAAAAAAATACCCCAAAGACGAGAACTCTGCACGTCCCCAGGGCTGCCCCCTGAGCTCCCCCGGCTGCGATTTTCATCTGCCGGGATGGGAGCGCTGGGTCATTCCTGCAAAACATTTTTATGGGGAAGGTTTTTAGGTCCAAGGGGGCGGCTGTCTTCCCTCTGCACGAGGGATCCCAACGGGAGATGGTGGAAAAACCCCTCCTGCTGGCGGGTGGCGAGCAGCTGAGGAGGACACCCCGCCTTGCCCCTCTCCAGCCCTTCCTTGTGTTTCAGGACGCTGCCTCGCTCTTCTCCCCTCCCTGCCGCGCTGAAACCCGAAGGATGGCAGCCGCCTCGCTGCGCTACGGCGTCACCATCACCGGGGCCGTGCTGCTGGTGACGGGGACGCTGTGCTTCGCCTGGTGGAGCGACGGTGAGGTGGGCTCCTCCGCCGGCACCGGGGCTCGCCTCCTGCCTCCCCGCGAGGCTCAGGCGGTGCCCAGCTCCTCCAACGCGCTGCTGCGCTCCGTCAGCTTCTTCTGCTGCGGCATCGGCGGCATCCTCCTGCTCTTCGGGCTGCTCTGGTCCGTCAAGGCCAACGCCAGGGTGGTGTCCCGGCGCTACCAGTACCACTTCCCCCGGGACCTGCAGTACTTCACCGCCGAGCCCCTGGAGAAGTGGCACTGCAGGTGGGTGCCGCGGGTCTCCCCCGTGGCTCTGGGATGAATCGGGGAACAAAAAAGGCTGAAAGAAGCTGTAAAAACGTAAAGCCATAATCATCCTGTCGGGGCAGGAGGCAGCATTCCTGCTTCTCGGGGATTTTTGGTGCCCACCTGACCCCAGGGGTGAGGTGGGAGCTGCTCTGGGTGCCTTGTCAGGCTTTGCACCAGTTTGTTCCCAGTTTGATTCCTGTGCTGGTGCGGTGGCATCGCCCTGGCACCGCTGGCGCTGTGACAGCCAGAGCCAGCAGAAAATGCCAGGGTGCATGCCCTGGCATCCCGCACGGGGAGAATCAGCCCCCTCCAAACTGCCGGTGCTGCGCAGGACAAAGGTTTTTGCGGAGGTTTTCCCTGTACACACGCCGTGTTTGCTCAGCTGGAAGCGGCAGCAGCGGGGCTGGTGCACGGAGGGCTCGGGAGGGCACTCAACTGGCAACGTGCTGCCCAGCTCCAGGCAGCCTCTGGGCTTTTTGGGGGTGGTTTTGGGGCTGCAGGAGGGGTTAGGAAGGTGGTGGGGATGCTCTTCTGCCTGTGGGTGTGGAACGGGGGCTGAAAGCCAGCCCCTCGCTGCCTCACAGCCAGCCTGACGTGTAGCTGTAGCCCCGGTGCCGGAGGTGGCAGCTTGCCTGGCTGCATCTCCTCTTCTTGGGTGAGAGCTCAGTGGGAACGGGGTGATGCTGCCTCATTGCAATGGTTCCTCCTGTGTGGCTCCTTGTCCTCCTGCTGCCAGGCAGCACCTGGCACGGTCTCTGCTTGTCTCCAAGCACACACAGCCCCGGGCTCAGGGCTTGCCTGATGGGGCTGGAGGATGCTCCAGGTGACAGGGAGCTGGGATGCTCCAACCGGGGGGCGCAGGGATGCTCCAGGTGACAGGGTGCACTGCCAGGTGTCTTCTCCTCCCCTCCCAGCTCCTGGGACTCCAGCGCCATCCCCACCTACGAAGAAGCCCTGAGCTGCAGACCTGCCCACGGCGCCCCGGCCCTGCTGCAGCCGGCGGCGAGGAAGGAGGAGCGGGCGGCTCCGCTGTACCACTACCTGCAGGAGGACGAGCGCTGGCAGGGCGGCCGCCGCCGCAGCTCCTCCGACAGCGCCCTGTTCCGCCCCAGCCCCTCCTGGCTGGAGGCCCAGCACCCTGCGGAGCCGCGGGCAACGCCGCCGCCCAGCTACGAGAACATCAGCGGCCGCGGCGCCTGATGGAGCGCGGGGACGGACTCCGAATGGAGGCGCAGGGGCTGTCCTGATTGCCGGGGGCTGCGGGTCCTGTTCGGGTAGCAGCATGCTGGGAAGCATTTGTATTTTTAATAAACCCCCTGGGGAGCTCTTAGTTTGGCGTCGTGTGATACCAAAGGGTGGCGGTGGCTCCAAGGTGGTGCATGGCGCGGTGCCGTGCGTCGCTCAGGTGCCCACCAGCACCGATCCAGGCCTTTTGAAGCAAGAGCTGTGCAATAAAAACTGCAGCAAAGAATAAGGGGGCTAGCTGGGGAAAATGCAGCCAGCAGCGCTGCTGGGACCGAAGGAGGGCCAGGAGCCGAGGTCTGGGCTGCTTCAGGGAGACCAGGGGCAGCGGGAGGTGGAGAGTGCGGCGCCTGCTGCCTCCCCTCTGCTTCTTTCCCCTCCTCGTTTTCCTGTGCACATCCCCAGCAGCCGGCCACGTCCCCGTGGAGTGATGCTGCTGGGGGAGAAGCACTCATCCCGTGCCCACGCTGCCCCTCAGCCTTCTCGGTGCCCTTCCACCCGTATCTCTGTCTCTTCCACCTCGCTTCATCCTGCCTGGAGATGCTCAGTGGCTCGTGCGTGCGCTCAGGGCATCCGTGTGCATTTGCTCTTTCAGCCAGCACCCTATAAAAAGTAAAATAAAATAAAATAAAATAAAATAAAATAAAATAAAATAAAATAAAATAAAATAAAATAAAATAAAATAAAATAAAATAAAAACCAGACATCCAGGGCTGCCCTGCCCTCAACAAGCAGCTTTGCATCTGTGCCCAGCTCCAATACACGCACACACACACACACATAACGTAACACAGCCCTTTGGGGCTGAGGACACCCCACAGCTGAGCCCATAGGGGCTGAGCCCGTTGAGCAGCCCCGTTATTTACCCTGGGCTGTGCCAGTGCCCGCGGTGGTTGAGCCAGGTCCCCGTCCCTGCCACGCTGTCCCCTCCCCGTGGCCGTGTGCCCCCAGGGAAGGTTATCCGGGCACGTGCTGGGCAGCTTCGCTGGAGTGTGACCGGCGGGCCAGTGTTTGCATTCATCACAAACCCATTAAAAACTGGCTGGCTCAGCCCTGGGCAGGACCAGCCCCATGTGCGGCGGCTCCTCAGCCCCTGGCAGCCTCTGGAGGAGGAAGAAACCTCTCCTCGCCCTGCCCCACAGCCCTGCTCAGCGCGGCCGGGGGGAACCAGGGCTCCCCGGCCCCCCGCCCCGCCGCTACCACCCATGGCCGAGGAGAAGACGTTTCGCTACGGGTTCATCATGCTGGGCTTCTTCCTGGTGATGACGGGCATGTTCATCATGAGCGTGGAGAAGCCCCAGATCTACATCACCTTCTGCGCCGTGGGCGTGCTGCTCGTCGCCGTGGGCATCACCTGGAGCATGTGCCAGTGCTACCCGCGGGTAGGGCGCGAGGGCCGGGGATGCTGTGGGGTGCTGCGATTTGTCACGGGTGGGGATGAAAAGCTCAGGGGGCTCTGGGTGCTTTGGGGGAGCTTTTCAGCAGCCCCAGCACTTGTAGTGGGGGGTGTTGGGGTTTGGTAGCCTGGGAAAAGCCGAGGTGCCCCCCCCCCCCGACCTGCGGAGTGTCCTTGGCAGAGGGCACAGCCAGCACGGCGGGGCAGCCACGCGTCCCTCCCCGGGGACACGGAGCTGGCACAAAAGGCTTTTTTCCAAGCGTTTTTGCTGCTCTGGGAGGCACAGAGCTGTTCTACATCAGGGGCTGGGGGGCTCCCAGGACCCCCGCGGGGATCCCCGGCACCGGGGTGCCGCTGGCCCCATCCCCGCAGAGCCCCTGCGCCCCGTGCAGCCCCTGGGCTCTGCCTTTTTCCCCTCCAGGTAACGTTCGTCCCCGTACACCCCGAGGCCGAGTGGTTCCTGGCTGACAAACCCACGGTGCCGACAGAGAAGAACAGCCCGGGGAAGCTCTGGTACGTCCTGGCATTGCTTTTGGTGAGGGTTTCCAGCTGGGCACAGGGCTGTCTGCATGCTGCTGGCAGCAAAGGCAGGGTCAGCACAGGGGAAAACCACAGGTTTTGGGGCACAAACCCAAAAATCCAGCAGGGGAAGGGGTGAAAGGGAGGCAGGACCCACATGGGATGCCAGGCTGGACCTTTCCATAGCTGCTGGTGCAACGCTTCCAGCTGGATCCCCACGGGCATCCTGCCCCGAGGATGCTCTCGGCCGGTGTTGGCCACAGCACCGGGGGCAGCCCCATTGAGCCCCGGCTCTGTGGGGCTGGATCCTGCCCTAAAACCTCTCCTCCTTCACCCCCAGCCCGCAGGCTCCCTACAGCAGTGCCTACGAGAAGAGCCTGCCCTCCTACGAGCAGGTCCAGAGGCAGGCGTCGGCGCAGCCCCGGCCCCGCAGCTGCTCCCAGCCGGCCGTGCAAGCGAAAGCAGAGGTGCACCGGGAGCTGGGGGGCGGCCAGGACCCCCCCCAGGAGCCACAACCCCGTCCGGAGACCAGCAGCTGGTACGTGGTGGCAGTGGGGGGCTTGGGGTAGGGTGCTGGGTGCCCACATGCACCAGTAAAACCAGTGGGGGGGTGCAGACGTGCTGGGAGGGGGAGCTCAGTGCCAAATTATTCACCACGGTGAAATCAGGAGGAAATGGGGCTGGCTGAGTGATGCTGAGACCAACACCGCAGGGCCAGCTTGGGGTGGGGGAACCCAAAAATTGGTGTAACCACCGCTGGCAGCCTGCTTTGTCCCCACAGCCCCCCCCGGACACCCCCAGAGGACCGCGCCGCTGGCGTCCCTCCTGGAGGACCTGGACACGGCGTCGCTGGAGAGCTCCGTGCCCAGCACCCCCGTGCCACGGGGCCGGACCCCTGGATCCCCAAAAAAAGCCACGGGGCAGGAGGACGACCTCTACTACGGGCTGAGGGAAGGGCCAGACGCTCTGCCTGAGGACAGCGATCGCCTTTTTGAGCCCGAGAACTGATGTCCTGGGGGGGGACGGCTGCTTGGCACGGAGGTGTCGCGTGGAGGGGGCGCAGCGCCTAGGAGAGGGGCTGGGGCTGACCCCAAAATGCAGTGCTGGTGGAGTGGAGGAGCCCCGGCACCCACCCAGCTGTTTGGGAGGGCTGTGGGGTGGGCATGGGGAGGTGTGAATGCCAGCCTGGGCAGGATCCGGGCTGAGGAGTGTGTTTGGGAAGGGGAGAGGAACCTGGCTTTGCCGCTTGAAGCAGGCGCAGCGGTTAGGTGGGCAGAGCCTTTTCCCCACTTATCAAACCCTCCCCCCAAATAAAAGCCAGACTCTGAGACTGACAGCCGGCAGCACTCCCGTTTGTACCCTAAAAATTCTCTCCTGGCTGTGTGGGAGCTGGAGGGGGGCAATGGGGCGTCCCCATCCCCCCTGCACGGGGCCAGCAGGACCCCAGACCCCACCCTGGGGTGCCGCTGCCCTTTGCCACTCTGACGCCAGGCAGCAGCAAGGTGAAAAAGGGCAGGATCGTGTTTGGGGTGGGAGCGGAGAGGCTGCTGTTTGCTAAATATTGCCGGCAGGAGCACGAGCAGCCGGCCACGAGGACGTGTTCATTGCCCGGGTGTTTATACATGCCCCGCTCCTGCCCATCCCTCCCGGCTCTGTGGGGTGGCTCGGGTTCAGTTTAGGGCTTTTCCCCACCTCGTGTCTCAGGGCTCGCCCCTGGAAAACCTCACCTTTAAAGCCCCTGCCCCAAAAGTGTGGGGGGATCTGGGTCCCTGCACCCACCAACAAACCCCGTGGGCGCTGTGGTTAAACATTGCGAGGCGCGGGACATTCCTGCATGGCATTATGCTCCTGCACGGAGCGTGGTGGGGACGTGGGGAGGGCACGGAGGGGACACAGGGGACGGGGACACCCCGGCTGGGGTCTGCTCATTGGGGTCTGCTCCCATGGCCGCATGGCACATGCCTCAGTTTCCCCGTACGCATCCCCTGCCTGCACCACACGCAGTTAACCCTGTCCCTCACAGCACAGAGATCTTTTCCCCATTACACAAACCTTTTTTTACCCCCTGGTGCTGCAGCTGTGCACCTCGTGGCAGGCTCAGCCCCGCAGCACCAGTGGTGTAGTGGTATCATGCAAGATTCCCATTCTTGCGACCCGGGTTCGATTCCCGGCTGGTGCACGGCGTTCCTACAGCTCCTCAGAGCCTGTCCCTGGAGAGGGGTGCTCTGGGGTTCATTTTGCACCCTGAGAACCAAAATCGGACCCTGCCACTTTCTTTTTTGGCTGTTTCTAAGTGATCTTTTTTTAAACAAAACCCCATCTCTCAGAAACCGATGATGCAGGGGGCGGGGAAGGGCAGTGTCCAAGGACACACACACATTAATATTGCACACACACGCACATGCATTACACATCTTACGCACACATATCCATATTACACACACAAATAAATAAATATATATATCTATACGTGCATGCTGCTGTGACGGCTCTGTAAAAAAACGCCTAAACAGGATTTTCTCAGAAAATCCACCTCCAACCTCCGCCGGCGAGAGAGAGGCACAGAAAAGCTCCCAGCCCCTTCCCCTCCGGCCTCAGCGCTCGGCTCGCTGCAGCGGGGGGATGTGGAGGGGGGGATTTCTCTGCTAAAAAGGGCTGAGCCTGACGGATTTACCAGCTCAGCACCACCGTGTCGCTGCCCTCCGCGGGCTGTGGCCCCGTTACTGGTTAACTCGCCCCGGTGGCCCGATGGGGCTGGCGGTGGCGTGATCCTCCCCGCGCCCGCCCCGTCGCACCGGCAGCGACCCCGCACCCAGCGGCTGCGAGGGGCTCGGGGGTGCCCAGTGCTGAGGTTCCTGGCTGGGTCAGAGCCCTCAGGGACATTAGGGGACATCGGGGCCATGGTGCTGGTGCCACCGCTGGTGCTGCTGCTGCTGGCGGTGAAGGTGGCGGCGGTGGAGGAGCTGGCGGAGGAGCTGGTGCTGGCCCTCGGGGCTGACGAGGAGGTGGTGGCGGCCGTCGGGGCTGCCCCAGGGCACGCCGCCTTCCATCGTGCCACCAAGGTGAGGAGCGGGGTGGTCGGGGTGGTGGTTATGTGTGTCCCCTGTCTCCTTCACCCTCCTGATGCTGAGCGCTCGTGTCCCCGCAGGCGTCGTGGCGGCTGCCCGGGCGCTACGTGGTGGTGCTGCGGGAGGGCAGCGGCGAGGCCGAGGTGCGGGGCACGGCGAGGAGGCTGCAGGTGTGGGCGGCCCGGCACGGCTACCTCACCGAGCTGCTGCACGTCTTCCACCTCCTGCCCGCCTTCCTGGTGAAGATGAGCAGCGACGTCCTGGACATGGTACGCTGGGACACCCATCTGCTGGGTGCTGGGTGCCAGGGTGAGGGGCACCTAGCTCCGTCCCCAGCCCTGGAGGGTTTCTGAAAGGACCTGCGGGTTGTTGCCACCTTTGTGAAGCCTTCGAGGCATGAGCCGGGTGGTGAGGGAGATGCTGTGCCTCCCCGCAGGCCCTGAAGCTGCCGCACGTGGAGTACGTGGAGGAGGATGCCTACGTCTTTGCGCAGAGCATCCCCTGGAACCTGGGCAGGATCGTGCCGCCGCAGCCCAGCTCGGGTGCCTACAGCCCTCCCAGTAAGTGTTGGGGCACTGGGCAGGACCTTGGGGCTCTGGGGAAGGATGCTGAGCTGTCTGCTCCCGGCCCAATTTCGGGAGCATCCCAGAAGGCCCAGGCTGACCATGGTGGTTGTTGCCTTTTCCCCTGACCCTGTTCCTGGCAGATAAAGGTGACCAGGTGGAGATTTACCTGCTGGACACCAGCGTGCAGAGCACCCACCGGGAGATCGAGGGCAGGGTGCTTGTGACCGACTTCGAGAATGTCCCCGAGGAGGACGGCACCCGCTTCCACAGGCAGGTGAGCCCGCGGGGGCTGCTGCTGCAGCCTTTCATTGCCATAGGGAAAAAGCAAAGCACAAGGGGAGGGCGCTGGGGTGTTACAAACCCGCTGTGATGCTATGGATTGCCTGCGCCAGGCCAGCAAGTGTGACAGCCACGGGACCCACACGGCCGGGGTGCTGAGCGGGCGCGACGCCGGCGTGGCCACGGGTGCCAACATCCACAGCCTGCGCGTGCTGAACTGCCAGGGGAAGGGCACCGTCAGCGGCACCCTCATTGGTGAGTGCCCCAGCCGGGACAGGGGAGCACTCCCCGAGGGCCTGTCCTGCCATCGTCCCATCCCTCGTCCTGTTCCCCAGGTCTGGAGTTCATCAAGACGACGCTGGAGGCTCAGCCCTACGCGCCGCCGGTGGTGCTGCTGCCCTTCGCCGGTGCCTACAGCCGTGTGCTGAATGCTGGCTGCCGCCGGCTGGTGCAGATGGGGGTGGTGATGGTCGCGGCCGCTGGTAACTACAAGGACGACGCCTGCCTGTACTCGCCAGCATCCGAGCCAGAGGTAGGGGCTGGGTGGGTTCCCCGAGGCGTGGGGACACGTGGGGATGTGCTGCCAGCCCGCATCCCCCCCTGCCACCCCCCAATCCACAGGTCATCACGGTGGGGGCGACCAACAGAGAGGACCAGCCCGCCTCCATTGGCACCCTGGGCACCAATTTCGGGCGCTGCGTGGACCTGTTTGCCCCGGGGGACGACATCATCGGTGCCTCCAGCGACTGCAGCACGTGCTTCACGGCGCAGAGCGGCACGTCGCAGGCGGCCGCGCACGTGGCAGGCGAGTGGGGCGCTGGGGGCCTGGGATGTGTGGAGTGGGGGCATTTTTTTGCCGTTTTGGGCAGTGTTTGGCTCATTTGGGGCCTGCAAGGACTTCGAATGCCTGTGAATGCAGAGGATGGGCTGCTGCGAGTTCTTCTCGCATGGCACCTCCTGTGGTCCTGTTGTCCCCTCTCTGGGTCCCAGCTGGGTGCCCATCAGGGGTGGGCATCCCTGGGGGCCCCAGCCCTGGCCCCTGTTGTTCAGCAGCGCCGTGCTGATGCCCACACAACCCTCCAGGCATCGCAGCCATGCTGCTCAGCGCCGAGCCTGGCCTGAGCCTCGCCGAGCTCCGGCAGCGCCTCCTGCACTTCGCCACCAAGAACGCCATCAACCCGGGCTGGTTCCCCGAGGAGCAGCGGCTCCAGACGCCCAACAGCGTGGCGGGGCTGCCCAACCGGCTGGGTGCAGGTAAAGACCCCGAGGTGTCCCTAAAGCTCTGCCACGGGGCTCCGGGTGCCACTAAGGGCTGACGGTGCCTGCCCCGTTGCAGATGAGCAGCTGTACTGCCGCTCGGTGTGGTCGGCACGCTCGGGGCTCACCCGGCACGCCACGGCTGTGGCTCGCTGTGCCAGGGACGAGGAGATGCTCAGCTGCTCCAGCTTCTCCCGCAGTGGCCGGCGATTCGGCGAGCACATGGAGGTGAGGCGAGGTGCCTGGCACCCCAAAAACGCTGCCCATGGGGTGCCCCCCTGGTGATGCTGTGTGCTCTCCTGGCCGCAGGACAAGGAGGGGAGGAAGCAGTGCGTGGCCCACAACGCTTTTTGGGGCCAAGGCGTCTACGCCATCGCCAGGTGCTGCACGTGGCCCAAGGCCGAGTGCCGGATCAACGCCAGCTCGCAGGCAGCCGAGGGGGCTGGCTGCTTCCCGCAGGACCACGTGCTGACTGGTAAGGCCCAAAAACACGGCTCACAGACCCTTGGGGCTGTGGGCATGGGGCTCAGCGGGGACATCCCCTTTGACGTCCCCTCTGCCATTAACAGGCTGCAGCTTCCACTCCCCCTCTGCCACTCTGGGTGATGGCGGCAGACCCATGCCGGGGCCAGGGACCGGGCCTGGCCACTGTGCTGGGGGAACAGGAGTGATGGCACACGCGTCCTGCTGCCCTGCTGCCACGCTGGAGTGCCGGGTGAAGGAGCACGCACCCCAGGGCTCTGCCGAGAAGGTAGGGAGGGCGTCACACCAGCCCTGGAGACCATCGGGGACAGGCAGACGGCCCCCCTTTGGTGACCCGTGGAGGGTGACGTCCTTCCCCGCCTAGGTGACGGTGTCCTGTGACGACGGCTGGACGCTGACGGGCTGCAGTGCCTACTCCCAGGGCCCCGGCACCTTGGGGTCCTACGCCGTGGACGACAGCTGCGTGGCAGTGAGCGCCGCTGGCAGCCGGGCGGCCATCATGGCCGTCGCCATTTGCTGCCGGAGCCGGCAGTAGGGACAGGCCGAGCCCACACCGGGGTGGCTGTGCCATGCTGCGACACGTAGCCACGTGCAGGTGCCAGCCTGTTTTGGTGACAGGATGAGCTCCTGCTTGTGCAGGGCATGTGAGAAAGCATCACCACAGGAGCACAACCGTGTGGTGG